TTTTTTGACTTGGACTTGATTTCAGATTTAATAGCTTTCTGCCAACCTGGTGTTTGCCCAAGTTTAAGCTTTGAGATTCTTCCTTGTCTGGTTCATCATCACATTAATCAGTTTCCTTGCATTGCACAGACCCAAAGCTTGAATTTGAAGGCTATGAGACTGGTTAATGAAATAAACTGGCCCCTTTATCAGACTCTTGCTGTTGCACCTGATGGAGAATTGGTACAAGTTATTCATGGGTGATGCAGTTTTCATTATTTTTCTTTTTCTTTGACGTGTTTATCTTATATGAAGTGTAAACCTTTGGTGAAAATGGCAAGTATGATGTTGAGGATTATAATAAAATTGATGATGGATTTTCATCTACCAACCCAAGCTTTTGGAGTAGAAATAGTTGTGTCATAATGGTATTAAAGCTTCTTTTGACCAAGGGGTCAAGAGTTTGATCCCGCATAATTAATTGTGCACAACCCATGCTAGGTTTCTTTCTGTGTCTAAGCGTCAAGTCCTGTGGGCTTTGTATATGAATGTGTTCGAGATATATTAAAACCATTTCTGGTCGTCTAAGATTTTAGGCTTGGGAGTTGAACTGGTCCATGACATGGTTCCAGAACCTTTATGAACTGGTCAATAATATGATCTTTGCCAATTATATGAACATTGTAGGTTTTGGTATAGCACACCTGTGCTTTATTACCGTCAGGATCCCAAAAGATTTCAGTGGGTGATTGTCATGTTAGAAGAGATCATGACAAAACTATTCTGACTTTCAGCAAACAATTTTAGCTTGGGAGATGAAATTGCCCTTAATATGTTAGAAATTCTATGAAAACCATTTTTGGTCTTTCTCCTAATGGATCTTGGCAACTGTCAAACTGTCATTTCTCGTATTAGTCCAGGTGAACTAAAGAGCCAGTAAATTTATTGTGATTTGTGAGATCCTGTCTCTAGTATCGGAACAAGACTCATAATCATGCACATTTACTTGTAAAGAAATCATTAAATACACAACAGATTACTAATAGTTCCAATCTTCGCTTGCATGTAGATAAATTGGGGGAATTGCATCGGTAAAGGTGTTTTCTTTCCATAAATGTCAGAATTTTTCTCTTTCACATTTTCCTTATTGATACTGTGTTGTTTTTCTTGTCCTTGCCAAAACATTTTAACAGGAGCTATATAGACTTGAAAAGTAGCCAGTTACCTTGCGCTTTTGTCGTGATTTATCCTCTTAATAAATTCTTTGTGGTGATTTATCCTCTTGATAAATTTGAGGCATAGGCTTGGAGGGAGCTTGCTGTTGGACATCATTCTTGTTGCCCCTGGCTGACACTTATCAGAGGAAATTAAAATGAATCATGACTATATAAGATTCTGCCATGATGAAACCATCAGAATAAAATGAAATTGTGGCCAAATGCATTTCCAGTAGTAATTGTTATTTCGAATCCTTTTGGAGGATTTAGTAAGTGCCTTCTCGTAGTTGTGAGTGATTTAATCTAGCAGAGGTGTAGTGGTCTGAACATTTTGAGCTAAGTTGGAAAGTATTTATTTATGGTGAAGAAGAAGCATCTGAATCTTGAACCTAATCATCAGATCTTAAATGTGATTTACTTCTGTACTGCCTATGTGGTTTGTTGGATTTCCTCTTATAATAGAATTGTGTTTTTGATTGCAAAGTAGGCCATCGGCTAGTAAAATCTGACAGGATTCAACTAATACCACTCTTCTAGAAAAAATACCCACGCCAATGTTACTCAGGAGCATAAATATCACTATTTTCATGATAAATGATTTATAATAGGAAAAATGTGCTAGATGGATGAGTTTTAGCACAAGGCCTTTCTGGTATTTTATTTGGAATTGTTATTTGATTTCAGAATTGTTGATCAACGTGATTATGTTTCTGTTGTTTGAAATGAGTTTCCTTTCACATTACTGACTATGAAGATGTAATTGCAGACTATTTCTGGAAGTTTATCTTCGATTAACCTGAAGACCATCAACATCATGGCTGAGAATTTCAGGATCTACCCTGAAGACCATATTACTTGGTTTGTTGAAAACTGCAGTGATTTGGAATTGTCGAAGACGCTCTTCTTTTTGATGTTATTTCAGGCTCTAGTGTTAAAACCAAGCAGTGAGTTTCTCCCTCACTTTTTCTATGCGCTACTTTATAGTTTCCAATTTTTCTGAAACATTCACTGCTTGTCAATAAGGAGTGTTAAGATTAAGCAAATAACAATATAACATGAGAAGTTAATTGAATGATTTATAGATGCTGAATATGGACTTTTTTTTCGTTTTTGGCTTAGGTGATGACTTTCCTGCAATTTTTGAAAATGTATTTCCTATGTTAAAGGCTGAGTGGGAATCATTAGTGTCTGCAGGCGATTTTATGTTGGAAGAGGTAGAATGAATTTATGATTTTAGTGTATTTATCTAAGTGGTTATCGGACATAAATACTAATTTGTTTTTTGGGTTGGTTGGTGTTTAATTTACAGTTCAATTCTGAAATTCTGGACTGGGACTGCAGTTCAATTCTAAAGTTCTTGGATACTGATCTCAAATCTCTGAATGCAAAACTTATTGTTTGCATATTTTGGAAGTTGGTTGCTGCACTGATGTTAGCAATGCCGTCTGACATTTTACGGGTTTGTAGTTCCTTATTTCATTTTTTGCCTGTGGGGGAGACTGGAGAGTTCTCCGCTGAATTTTCTGTGTGTTTACTTAATTGTAACCATGCCTATGAGACAGGATGATAACGATAAGTGGGTCAGCTGGACTAAGGATCTGTTTGTATGTTTTGCTGCCTCAAAATTCAAGCATGCTTTTCATGAACATCTCCGTTACTTGGTGGCTCAATGCAAGATATCACCTCCCTGCCTCTTATCCAAGTTTTTCACGGAGGAAGGTACTTTTCACTTGATCCTGTTGGAATCATACTTCATGAGCTTGGACAGTAATCTACCAACTGATGCCTTTTGACTTGTTGACATGATTGCTTTCATTTGAATGTTGTGGAATATGAAACTCACTTTTCTTTCGTTTAGGACTTTTCCCCATTTTTGTACCTGAGGAGTAATTGATTGCCTTTAATTACTAGTAATCACTGATTGGTATCTCCACAATTGCTAATTCCTGTAACTTCTGTAGTTGAAAATTAGGTCTTGAATAGAATTGTTTTGGCATGTTCAAATTGGTGATTCCAAAATTTTGAATTACTACTGGGCCTTGATTTGCTGTCACACTGTTCAGTTCCAACTTCTCATTTTTATCTTCTTTTTTCCTGTTTCAAATATTTTTTTGGTTTGACAACTGGTCATCAAGTGGAATCAGTCTAAGCTGCCTTCCACAGACTTAGCAGAGTCTGATTTTTATTTGCATTATGGTTTGACGTATATAAACTTCACTGATTGTTCGTGGATCAATGTCTCTAGAACGCCTTTGCATGTGTATTTAAAATGTCTTTACATACACACCCATTCAAAGCTAATATCTCATTTAGATTCATTCTCTTTAATTTTTTGTGGTGGTTTTTCTGGTTTAGTGAAATCTCTGTTTGGGTTTATTCTCTTGGTTGTTATATATGGTCATGGCTTTTTTAATGCCAATATGGTCATGGTTGTATTCCTGAAAAATTTTTCATCTAGTTAATCTTTTGCTGGTCTTGTCATTCTGTAGGTGTTCCTGTTGAAGTCCAAGTTGAAAGCCTTCGGTGCTTTGCATTTCTTTGTAGCCTGTCACTAGAAAGATGTCAATTTGAACTTCTAGCTGAGTTTCCTTCAGTTCTGGTTCCATTGGCTAGTGATAACCAGGTATGAGTTTTCCACCATAGTGCCAAACATTTTGAGGTGCTTTTCCTTTTTCTACCCTCCTTTGTTTTTCATTCTGAAAATACATGGTCATCAACAATTGTTTTCTTCCATATTGTAATTTCAGAAGCCTATGACACTTCCACTTGTGCTATTCTTTTTCCGTGTGCTTCTCTCTTGCAACAAAATGGAATTGGCCAAATCGATTAATTTGCATTGTCCGTCTTTTTTAGGATACAAGGATTGCGGCCATGAACTGCATTGATGGGCTATGTGTATTATGGTCTCATCTTGAACGTTCTGGAAGGAGAAATGGTACTGTACCATCAAAATAATTGGATTCTGCCCTACATGTCAAATGTTACCTTGTTATTTTACTAATTTTTTTTAACTGGCGAAAACAGGGAGCAATGCAACATGGAGCCATTTTCTGGGTGAACTTTTGGGGTTGATAGATCAGCAAAAAACACTAATATTGTCTGATGAGAGATTTCTTCCTTCAATGTTTGCATCTATGCTGGGCTCAACCTGTCACAACATCTTGGTACCCCAAAATATTGAGAACAGGTATGATATGGTGCAGATTCGGTAAGAGAGAAATAAGAAAGGAAAATCTTTATTGAACTGTGAGATAAGAATCTAATTTCACAAATTAATAAAGATGAAGGAAAATCTTCATTAGAATGAGTAAGAATTTTAGCTCATAACTAATAAAGCCTTGGAGAATCTCCACTCATAAAACAAATAGTGATTATACAGATGACATTTACATGCATTGACCCTCAATATTTATAAACAGAAAAATAACTATGACTCCTTAAAATTTAGGCTAACACATGATTTAGGAAAATAACAATAAAAATATTTAAAATGAAATATCTGACTCAGTAAATAATCCTAACAGACTCCCCTAGCTCCTAAATTTGTGCTTCACTTCACCTGACCACCAAGACTACTACTAAACCCACTAAAATAAATATTAATGAAATAAAATCTGGTTCACAGATTAGCCGCTCGTTTGGTACTCTATCAAGAGTATTTTTATAATGCTACCATAATTATGTATTTGTCTAATGGGAGGCTGACGGGAGACCGCGGGAGACCAAGTTGGATAGGGTTATTTTGTTTCTCCCTATGGTGATAGGATCTGATCAGCTTTACATTCAATGTATAATGCATTGTTGGTCATTTTTCTTTTTCTTATCAAATAATTGGTCGAACTTGCTAATTTTGTTAAATAATTGGTTGAATTTGCTAATTTTCATTTTCCGTCTGTGCCTGAATTTTTCCTTTCAGATTTGATCAGCCTACAAGGGAAAAAATTCTTGGCTTCATTTTGGGTTCTGCTTTGAAACTTTCAAACTATGGCAAGGTCTGCTGTCTTTTCTAAACTGTTTCCTTCTCTGCTTTTACATGTAAGATTTGTGTTCTTGATCAAACTTCCATATCTTCAAAAAATTTTTTTTACTATCATGCGTATTGCTTTCACATAATCTTAGAAAGGACGTTTATATTTGTACCGTGGTGCTTCTTGCAGCTGAAGATTTTATCCTTGCTCAAGGGAATTGGAAAGGGCATTGTGTGTGTTAAAGAAGTTGTGTCTCTGTTGTCCTTGCTCTTGCATAGGCGGAATCAGTGCTTTAATGTGCTAGATGAGTTCTCTCAGAAATTGTCAAGCATTGAAATTGAAATGCTATGCCTATTACTTGAAGTAAGTATATCCAGTTGTTTTTGGCTGAGGGCATCTTTCCAATATAGGATTTGAAGTGTACTAATTTCTACTATTGTGGTAGAGTTGTGTTATGTCCTCTTCCTCGGGGGGAAATGATTTTGAAGGTCATTTATTGACAGCTTTGCGGGTAAGCAATATAGTATTTCTACGTTAGGTGGTTTTGTCATCTTTGATGTGCTTACACGCTCTGGCTGCTGTCTTGGCCAGTTGGATTCTACTAGTTCTGGTCACCCTGCCTATGTACAGCCCTGTTTAACCATTCTAAGGAAACTAAGTCGTCAATTCTATGGGGGATTGAAGAATGAAGTAAAGGTATCAGGGGACCCATTTCCTTTCCAAATGATATCATTCCCTTCATAATAACTTGATCAATTTAGGCCCATGTTAAAGCAGATCACATTTGTTCTCCTCGCTTGATGCATTAAATTTCTGACAATGAACTTTCTTATTTTTTACAGGAGCATTTGTTTCATGAGCTTCTGTTTCTGTGCTGTAATGCTAATGGTGAAGTACAAAGTTCTGCCAGAGAGGCCATATTGCGCATAGATGTAAGTTCCTTTCTCATATTTTTTAATTTTACGGATCTTCTGTTCAATTTAGTGCATCTTTTATTATCTGTTGGTTAGTGTGTTGTATCTATTTTGCTGTTGCTTGCCAGTATGATGCAGAACAGTTTATGGGAGCATCTGACATTCAAATAATGAACTCAAGTGGTTGCCAAAGAGACGTTTTTTTCCTGATGGACAATATTTTTGCAGAATTTAAGAACTTAAGTTTTATGCCTGTGCCATAAGATGTATAATCAGTTTGGTAAATTGGAATCAATGGTATCCTGGTTTGCATGCACAGAAATGCTCATTTGTGCGTGCATTATGAAGTATGATTACAAGAACGTACACATTTTTAATGTGGGTTTATTTGAAAATGGGGACTTTTTTCTTTTAAAACTGTTCTATAGCCAGCAGTGATTTGAGGGAGCATGTGGTTAATATTATAAATATTTAGGTACTAGGTTCCCTTTTTAATGTAGTGTTATAATTCTTCAGCTTATCCATTTCACCTTCTAAATTATAGAAGTTCTGTAGGAGAATAAGTGAAAGATTAACTGGTGGTCAATGGTTTTATCTCTTGGAATTGCAGATTAGTTTCTCAACATTTGGCGACATGCTTGATATCATACTTGAAAGGGGAAGTTGCATAAATATCTCAGAATCCAAGAAGAAAAAGAAACTAAGTGTGCATGCAGGGGATAACATATTTAGAAGGGAGAAATCTTTCTATATCCTTAGTTCTCTTCTTGATGTTTTATTATTGAAGAAAGACATAACGAAGAGGTTAGAAGATAATTGCTATTTCTGGATCAACAAAATAAATAGCATATTTGATTGTGCTAACTATTAACTTTGATGGCTGCAGGCATATGCTCATAAGCCCCTTATTTAAGCTTCTTAGTAGGATTCTTTCTGAGGAGTGGTTGAATGATGCTCTTTTCCAGGAGAAGGGCTTGACCCAGCCTTCATTAAGTGAGGCCAACCGTAATGCCATATGTCATGTTCAACAGACTTTGTTGATAATCCTTGAGGATATAATCACATCCCTTGGTAGCACTGCTCCGTTGAAGGTTCATTTTTATTCTAGATGCTTGAAATTTCAAGATATCTTACAGGTTATTTGGTGAACTTGCTTTTGCCTAATTCAAATTTATTTTGCTATTTTTGTTCTCAGGAAAATATAACAAATGAAATTAACTTCAATGTCCTGATAGTGTGCGCCCATTCTTCGAAGGATGTAGTCACCCGTAACCATGTATTTTCTCTGCTTTCTGCTGTTGCGAAAGCTTTTCCTGAAGAAGTTTTTGGGCATATACTTGATATTGTTGCTGTTGTTGGAGAATCAACTATCACACAGGTTTGTTAATATATGATTAAAGCAGCTTTGAAAGTTGGAGTAACAGTGATGAGTGTGCTTGTATTTTGGCTACCTCTTTAAAATTGATTATATAAGCGATACAGGGGACGGGAGAATCATAGATTGAATTTTTGGTATTCTATATCTTTAAATTATAAGCCAGATTATAAGCGATACTTGATATTAAGGACATTTTATTAGAATTGATTGAGGTGGGGGAAGTTTGAGCCTGATAGAAAAGGCCTGTCCAATGCCAAAATTCTTTCCTCCATTTTTTGTTTTCCTTTTACTAAAACCTTCATATCAGATTTATTATAGCCAATATGAGAGTGGGGGGTCTTAATTGTAAGGAGAGAGACACTATCACGGAATAGGATGACAAAAAAGATGACATGTTTTGCCTAATTATATCAAAACAACGTACATTTTCTAAAATTATACGCAAATAATTGAGTAAAATTTAAAGACACGTTTTAGATGGATTGATTTCTCAGTATTCTATTTCTTCAAATACATTGTATTTTCACTGACACAACTGAACAGTGCGGACATGCAGTAAGGGCTTTCAAATATGTTTATATGATAACATACTCAGATGGGTGAGGCTAGGGTTTGGATCTTATAAAAAGTGTATGCTTGGCCTGTTCAATATATGGATCCTTCAGGCTCATATATCATTTTTATTTTTCATTTCATTTCATTTGATTTTATTTTATTTTTTTTGGTTTGTTTGGATTGGGTGGGTTTTGCGCCATGATCTGGTCTAGTTCAATATATCATCTGTATTCTCACTATTTGGCTATTATCTGTAGATTGACGGTCATTCAAAGCATGTTTTTGAGGATCTTATATCTGCCATTGTTCCTTGTTGGCTGTCTAAGACTGAAGATGTTAAAGCATTACTGAAGGTAGTTATTCCTTGATACATGTTGGTTCCAAATGAATGGAAGCAATTCTAAGCATATCAATATTTTAATATTGTTTTCTCCCTACAGATTTTCATGGATACGTTGCCCGAAGTTGTTGAGCATAGAAGATTGTCAACTGTATTATACTTGTTAAGGTAAAGTACTTTTTATGCTATACTTCACTTTTATTAACTTTGTTTATCCATTCACGAGCTACATGTAACCATGCTCCAACTTTACAGAACTTTGGGTGAGGATAAAAGCTTTGCTTCATTGCTTGTCCTGCTTTTCCATTCATTAGTTTCAAGGGAACAAACTACTTTGCTTAATATCAAGGCTCTGGATACATTGACATTTTATACAAGAGAGTGGGAGTATAAACTTGCGGTGCAGATATGTGAACAATACACAAGTCCGACGTGGGTTCCTGCTTTAGTTATGCTGCTTCAACAATTGGGAAATGAACCTCTAGAGTTGTTTCTTGCAATGCAGTTTACTTTGCACAAATTGCAAGATCCAGAATTTTTATTCAAAATGGAATCAGGGGAGGATGCAGATATCATTCAGGTATAATTCCGTATGTTTTCATGATTTTGAACTCCTCAAGTCTTCAAGTACCTGACTTTATTAATGGCATAAGCAACTAGCAAGGGCATTCAATGTCTTTCCATTTCAGAGAGGGTACGCTTTATAAGGTTCATATCCTACCTAGTGGATCCTATAAGTGCCATTGCATTGTACAGCATAGGACAGGTTTGGCAAGGTGGCGCCTTTCTATATACATGCATTCCTTTCCAACCAAATCTGCCAGGATTTTGAACACCGTAGTGCCACAAAACCCCCCCCCCTGCCAGACACTTTTAAATAAATTGATGTAAGATGCTTTGAAGTCTCAGGGATAAAAATGCCAATGAAAGAAATATAAACTGATCGTTACATGGTAAATCCATAGCCTTGTGGTGAATAGAAAACTGAGATAAAGTATCTCCAATTCACACATATCGTGGGACAGTTTTTTGAGGTTTGCAATCCTGTCACCTGTCATTAATGTTAATCCTGTGTCTATTACGCCTTATTATTGTCTGGGGGATATTTTCCACCTAGTTAGTTAATCTCCCAAAACTACAGGCAAGAGCTGCTACCATCCAACTTGAATGAAATTGGCTTTCTAAAAAGAACTATATTCTGATGGAACTTAGTCTGTATTGATGCTGATCGAAAGGAAAAGATCGCCCCTCAGGGTATGGACCTAAAGGAAAGCGATGATTACAACGCAGAGTAACCACACTCTTGACTCCTGTGTATTCGAGAGACACAGACCTCTCCCAATCACTCACCGAAAACATGCATACCCCCTCCCTAACAGATTTCCTCTCTTATAACAATATTTCTCCCGTCTCTCTCCTCTAACCGTTTACACATATAATCTCTCAATTACCCTTGGGCTTCTTTTTAACATAAACCAGCTGAGGCCCAGATGTCGCCCCATCATTACCCCCCCCAACAAGTGTGTCCTTGTCCCCAAGGACGAAAGCAGGGAACTGTAGGTGGATGGCGTCATAATCTTCCCACGTGCTGTCGTGTTCAGGGAGGTGAAACCATTTAATTAGCAGCTCAACTCTGCCATCGGTCAGGCGGCGTGACTTTAAAATGGCTTCCGGTTGGACTTGTAGCTCCAGATCCGACGTAAGAAAAGGAGGCAAGGATTGTGGAACAATAGTGGCAGGAGGGGCCAATCGTAGTTGAGACACATGAAAAACCGAGTGAATTTTAGCATCGGAAGGTAACTGGAGTTTGTAAGCCATTGCTCCAACTTTGGCCAGAATGGGAAAAGGACCATAATACCGTGGACTCAACTTCTCATTAGGGCGGCGAGCTAGCGAACGAAGGCGATACGGTTGCAGCTTCAGATAAACCTTGTCACCCAGCTCAAAATGAACGTCACGACGTTTCTTGTCAGCAGCTAACTTCATATACTGCTGTGACCGTTCCAGATTTTCTTTGAGTTCGACCAGAATGGCGTTACGGGAGCGCAAGTGTTCAGCGACCGCGTCCACCGTCGAAGAGGGTTCCTGGAACCGATACAAGGTGGGGGGATCCTGCCCATACAAAGCCTTGAAAGGCGTCATGCCCGTGGAACGGTTAAAATTTGTATTGAACCAGAATTCAGCCCAAGAGAGCCATTTGGACCAATCTGTCGGACGGGAGCTGGAAAAGCAACGCAAATAAGTCTCATCACTGCGGTTCACCACCTCGGTTTGACCATCACTCTGGGGATGGTAACTAGAGCTAAAGCTCAAAGTAGTACCCGACAATCTGAAAAGCTCCTTCCAAAAGTGACTCATAAAAATTTTGTCACGGTCAGAGACAATGGAGCGAGGAAAACCGTGTAGGCGCACTATCTCCTTCACAAAGACCGCGGCAACATCACAAGCAGAGAAGGGATGACGGAGAGGGAGAAAATGTGCATATTTAGTTAATCGGTCCACCACCACAAATATAGTATCAAATTTAGCAGACTTGGGTAATCCAACAATAAAGTCCATGGAAATGTCAGTCCACACAGCATCAGGAATCGGTAGGGGCTGAAGTAGCCCGGCGGGACTGGTGGCCAAATGTTTATTTTTAAGGCATGTATCACAAGCTGACACGAATTTTTGGACATCGCGACGCATACCCTCCCAATGGAACAGAGAGGCGAGCCGCTTGTATGTACGCAAGTAACCGGAGTGACCTCCTATAGGAGAAGCGTGGAAATCCTGGAGTAGTGAAAGAATGCGGGGCGACTGTTTTGGTATTACTAACCTCCCCTTAAAAAATAAATGAGCACCGTTGAGAGTATAACCAGCCAACGATGTTTGACCAGTGCCCAAAGCCTGAATAATCGATGCCAAAGCAGGGTCGGACTGAACCTCTTGGTCCCACGAGTCAACCTCAGAATTTTGCAGAACAGAAACGGCGTGCAATTCACAACTAACCCCTCTTCGAGATAACCCATCTGCTGCTGAATTAGAGGTTCCCGGTTTGTAATGGATCTGGAAGTCAAACCCCATGAGCTTGGAAACCCAGTGTTGCTGTTGGCCGTCCAGGACCCTTTGTTCCAAAAGATATTTCAATGGTTTCTGATCTGTTTTAATGATAAAGGGCCTTCCCAGCAAGTAATATTGCCATTTTTTGATGGAAAAAACAATAGCCATGAGTTCACGCTCATACACAGATCGCTGCTGGTGCTTAGGGGATAGGTGATGACTACAATATGCCAAGGGGCGCCCGTTCTGCATCAGAACTGCCCCCAAACCAGTGCCGGACGCATCTGCTTCTACCACAAACGGAACCTGGAAATCCGGGATGGCCAGGACAGGTGTCGACGACATAGCTTGCTTGAGATTGTCAAAGGCGGACTGAGCCGATTCATCCCAGTGGAAGGCGTTCTTCTTAAGCAATCGGGTGAGAGGAGACGCAAGTGCGCCATAATTCCTGACGAAACGGCAGTAATAGCCAGTAAGACCCAAGAACCCACGTAAGTCCTTAAGCGTCTGTGGGACCGGCCAAGTCAACATACTCTGTACTTTGGAAGGATCTGCCTGTACCCCTTCCGGTGAAATAATGTGGCCGAGGTACTCGAGTTGGGATTGAGCGAAGATGCACTTCTTACTGTTGATGACTAAGTGATGCTGCTGTAGGACCTCCAACGTTGCCCTTAAATGCCGCAGATGTTCCTGTCTGTTTACACTATAAACCAAAATGTCATCGAAGAACACTAGAATAAATTTTCGTAGGTACTGACGAAAAATGTCATTCATGAGCGACTGGAAAGTGGAGGGTGCGTTCTTGAGCCCAAAAGGCATTACCATGAACTCATAATGACCATCATGGGTACGAAACGCGGTCTTATGCTCTTCACCAGGTTTCATGCGTATCTGATGATACCCCGATTTCAGGTCCAGCTTCGAGAAAATCTGAGCCCCATGCAATTCATCTAATAATTCCTCAATTGCAGGAATCGGAAATTTATCTTGGATGGTAATTTTATTCAATGCCCTGTAGTCGATGCAGAACCGCCAACTGCCGTCTTTCTTTTTGACTAGTAGAACCGGGCTGGAGAATGAACTCCTACTAGGACGTATCAAGCCGGTCTGTAGCATATCCCATACCATCTTTTCAATTTCGGATTTCTGGCAGTGAGGGTAACGGTAAGGCCGTATGTTGGGCGGAGACTCCCCTGGTTTCAGCTCAATGGTGTGGTCGACCGAGCGGTGTGGAGGCAAGCCAGAAGGTAATGCTTGTACTGAAGGGAACTCCCTAAGGAGGCCTTGGATGTCTTCGGTCACCTCAGTCACGTGAACATCAGTGACCTTGAGCTCCATAAACTCAACTAAGAACCCTTCATCCGTCGAACGCATGGATTTGAGGAGAGAAGATGATGACATCTCAGATTTCTGTAGAGACGGATCTCCTCGCAAACAGACCCATTCACCGCCGATATCAATCTTGATAGTTGATCGCTTCCAACTCACCAAAACCTCATCAAGTGATTCGAGCCAGTCGGCCCCGAGAATAATGTCAGAGCCCCCCAGTTGGAACGGGTAGAGGTGTTGCGAAATATGGAGTCCTTGAATCACAATGGGCACGTCCCTACAAATCCCGTGGCCCTGTACATGCCGTGAATCGCCTACTTGAACAACGAAGGATAGATGAGGGTCGAGGGAAAGGTCGAGAGCCTTCACCAAATCATGATGGATGAAGCTGTGGGTGGCACCGCAATCGATTAAGACTAGAACCGTTCGGCCGAATATTGTTCCCTTGAGCTTAATGGTTTTTCCTCCAGTTACTCCCGCTAATGCGTTCAAGGAAAGAGCCATAAGTTGGCCATTGGTCGTCGGTTCGTCGGAAGGAGCATCAGGAATAGGAACAGACGGAGCAACTTCAGTCATCGGGGCCTCACTATCCTCGTCTGCTTCTTCGGCCAATATTAGCACCTGGAGCTGCTTCTTTTTACACTGATGTCGTGGGCGGAATTTCTCGTCACACTTAAAACAGAGGCCAAGCTCACGCCGCTTCTCGATTTCAGCGTCAGTGAGTTTCTTCGGAACTGACTTAGTAACATGAGTCACCGGTATGTCAATCTTCTCAGAGACGCGTGTGCTCTTAGAGTCGTCGGAAGTGGTTGTGGCAGGGGTCGAAGATTTGGATAAATCAGGTGGGAAACGAGTTGGGCCAGGACGCGTGGCCCACTTATCTGTGTCCCACAGCTTGGGTGTTCGGTCAGGGCGGTATCCGTGGAGTGAAGATTTGACCCAATTGCGCTCCTCAATCCGTAGCGCCATATCCATGAATTCCCGGATGGAGTGCATCGTCGTCATCCTGAGGTCGGCTTTGATATCCGGATGCAAGCCGTTTAAAAATGCCGCAATCAACACCTCTTCATCGCATTTGTCCAAAGTAGCTGACAGGAGTTCGAAACGCTCAATATATTCGGCCACTGATCCTCTTTGCCGGAGCGCCATCAGCATCTCATACGTTCCCCCACATTGCGAGGGATGGAAACGCAACACTAGAGCTCGTTTGAGCTCAACCCAGCTACGGATTGGACTTCGAACCTCGCACCATTGGAACCAGTTCAGTGCTCGGTTCTCAAAACAGAGTACTGCAGCGTCCAGTTTATCGCCTTCGCTAATCCGATTAAGTTTGAAGTACCGCTCAATCCTAAAAATCCAACCCAACGGGTCCTCTCCCGAAAATAGAGGCATATCGAGTTTTCGTAGGCTGGAAAAATCATTGCGTGAATCCTTCGCTTCCGTCTCATCGTGCTCCTCTGTTGGTGGACTTTCTGTCGTAACCTTCGATGCTGGTGACTCTTCGACCCGAGACCCCGGCTCACCGGAATGCTTGGTTTGACGTAACTCGGATAGCATCTCAGTCATCAAGGATTGTAGCGTGGTCATATCGCACTTGAGGGTCGACACGTCCCCCCGCAGTAGCTCAATGCCTTGCTCTGTCTGGAGTACGCGTGTGTCGATGTTTTCTACCTTCTGCTCCATTCGGGTCACCATTCGCTAGATCGTAGCGGCTCTGATACCTGAATGATGGAACTTAGTCTGTATTGATGCTGATCGAAAGGAAAAGATCGCCCCTCAGGGTATGGACCTAAAGGAAAGCGATGATTACAACGCAGAGTAACCACACTCTTGACTCCTGTGTATTCGAGAGACACAGACCTCTCCCAATCACTCACCGAAAACATGCATACCCCCTCCCTAACAGATTTCCTCTCTTATAACAATATTTCTCCCGTCTCTCTCCTCTAACCGTTTACACATATAATCTCTCAATTACCCTTGGGCTTCTTTCTAACATAAACCAGCTGAGGCCTAGATGTCGCCCCATCATATTCCTGACATGTCTCATGAGAGGTATTGCATTTTTGGCATTACTTCTGCCATGGTCTTAGTTGTGCTTTGGAATACCTGATTCCATAAAGTGTTGTACCCTAACATGGCCTTCAAAATTCAACTTCCTAGATTGAAGAAAGCTCCTCACAGTTCTCTCAATCCTATGCGTTGGCATATATTATAAGTCTCCTGATGATATTTTAAGGGTCTGCTATTGTTTAGGCAAGTGACTCGCATAATCCTTGGCTGATGCAAATTTTCAACTTTGAGCATAATAATTGCTCATTATTTGACTGTGTATTCAATTTGTTTCATTATTCTTATAGTCTTCTTGCTGAGATGCTCATTCTAGTCTTGTTGTAATAGTTTTCCAAGCTAAACATGTGTATTCATGCTGCTGCTTTTTATAGTTGAATAGTACTGTTTGTTGCCAAAATTGATTTCCTCAAAAGTAGACTGTTTTGACATTGCAGAAGGGACTTGGAGAGCTTATGGAGCAGATTGTTTTTCTCTTGCAACATGTACTTTCAAAAAAGAAACAACTGAAGTTTCCTGTTCTTCTGAGAAAAGAGTTGAAAGAAGCTTTGCGTGCTGCTGGGAGAAATATAACCTTGGCCATGAGACCATCAGCGTACTTTAGCAGCATAATTAAGTTGCTTCGTCATGAAGATAAGGATGTTGCTGAAATGGTAATTTCTTAGACTTGCGTGATGCATTAAAATGTTACCCCTTAGGACCATGTACGATAGATACTTCAAAAAAGTTAATATACCCATATCAGTTACATTTCTGGTATGATACATGTATTGTATCTCATGTTACATGCGATCTATTTTGAAGCTACCAATATCAGTTACATTTCTGATATGATACATGTATTGTATCTCATGTTGCATGCAATATATTTTGAGCTTATATTGACTTCCCCCCTTTGAAATGCTTCAAAATAACTCAAAAACTTAATTTTGTTGTTAATATCACTTTATTGCTTTGGAAATACATATTTAAAACAATTATTTTTATGTTATTCTTTTGTGTGTTAATTTTTTTTTAAATATATGCATAATTATATATGCATGTTTCTTGCGCCCATAGCCTAAAATTTTGAACTTCATCATGTTTAATATATCATATTGTATCGCACTCAATGCGTGTACCCATAATTGCGTAGCTTTAAGAAGTTTTTCCCTAAGTAGTTGGGTAGGCACAGCATATATTTCCTGTTTCTTATGTAATTCATGCAATGATGAACAATGTGAGATGAGGAATGGTTATTCAATAATTACATAATTTGTGTTGCAGGCTCTTGGGCTTTTGTGTGAGACTGCAAGAAATCATAAAGTTGTTAGTTCAAAGAGTAAAGAAAATAAAACTCGATGTTCCAATCCATCTTTTCCTTGGCTTAATATGAACGAGAGTGATCAAAAGTCATTTGATAAGATGTGCTTGGAAATTGTTCGGGTACTTGATGATCCAGCTGAGGGTTCAAGTACATCGATGAAAGTGGCAGCAGTGTCTGCATTAGAAGTTTTGGCCAACAGCTTTCCTTCTAATAATTTAATCTTCGTTCTGTGCCTTAGATCCATTGCAAGATGCATCAGTTGGTGCAACTTGGTTGTGGCCTCTAGTTGCCTTAGAACAACTGCTGCCTTGGTCAATGTTGTAGGTCCAAAGGCTCTAGCAGAGCTTCCTCACTTAATGGAAAATATGATGAGGGTTTCTTCTGAACTGTTCTCTAATTCAGATACAAAACCCCAAAGTATGGAGCCTGTTTCCCCAGTCTCTAAAGACTTGTATTTGTTGTCTGTTCTCATCACTCTGGAGGTAGTTGTGGACAAGCTTGGTGGATTTCTAAACCCTTATCTATCAAGTATAATAGATCTTCTGGTACTTCATCCTGAATATGTTTCTGGAAGGGACACAAAGTTGCAATCTAGAGCTAGTGGACTTCGCAAGCTCCTTGCGGAGAGAATCCCTGTAAGGCTTTGTTATTTTATAGTAACGTATAACATTTGTATGAAATCAACATTTTGGTGTTCTCTTTTTATTTAGAAAGCTTTTATTTTTGATACAGGTTCGACTTGCCCTGCCACCGTTATTAAACGTTTACCCTGCTTCTCTTAATGCTGGGGATAAAAGCTTAGAAATTATGTTTGACATGTTGGCAACCTTGGTTGGTACCATGGACAGGCCATCTATTGTTGCTTTCCATGGAAAGATTTTTGACCTTTGCCTGCTTGCCCTTGATATTCGTCATCAGAGTCCTGTTTCTGTCCATAATGTTGATGCAGTAGAAAGAAGTGTGATCAATGCAATGATTGCTCTGACTATGAAACTCACCGAGAGCATGTTTAAACCTCTATTCATAAAGAGTATTGAGTGGGCAGAATCTGATGTGGGTGAAGCTGCATCTGTGGGTAGTACTGATAGGGCGATATCCTTCTATGGCATGGTAAATAAACTTGCAGAGAGCCATCGGTAAGTCAATATCTGTGTATTTCAGTTGGTATTCTTTTCAAAAGTGCTTCTTTCTTGCTTGCTTGATCTCCAGAGACTTTGTTGAGGCATTCTCTCTTGAATTATTGGGTTTGTAATATTTCACTTTTTTAAAGAATAAAACTTTTTTTTTTAATTTAGAGTGAAGCAGTTTTATGTTATGTGTATAAAGGTCCTTGCATATTATACAATCTAATAATAGTGGCTGGCAGTTGAGTTACTACAAACTTAATCTGAAAATGATATTATTATATCCATAATTTGTTTTCAGTGAGAAGTCTTGGCTCATTTGAATTATGCTTATATAAGTAACTTGAGCAAACACGATCATTTTTCTTAAGGTCGTGATTGAAGTTTGCTTCATCATTTCTTCACTGCTGTGCCATGTGTGTAGGTCGTTGTTTGTTCCTTATTTCAAACACTTGCTTGGTAGCTGTGTTCACCATCTTGGCAATGCCGGAGATGTAAAACTTCTGAGTCGAAAGAACAAGAAGGCCAAGACTCAGGATGATGACAGCACAAAGGGAAGCATTGTTTCTATCAAAAGCTGGCATCTTAGGAAGCTAGTCTTGTCGTGTTTACACAAATGTTTTCTCTATGATACTGGATCCACCAAGTTTCTTGACTCTTCAAACTTTCAGGTGAGCCAATTCTTTTACACTGCCACCATTATGCCATATCTTAGTTGTCATGAACTATTGTACATATCTCTGACATTTAAGTATGGATTATTTCTTTAAAATGTTTTGATTAGTTTGCGGTCATATCTTCACAATGCTTCAGGAGCTGAGTTCTGCATCACATGCCTGTCTTGAACTTCCTTTTCCTAGAAGATAAACACTTCATTTGATTCAATTAATGGAGAACTTTGATATTTACAGATTAGAGGAGCACTGAATGATTATGAATATGTAGGGTATAAATGACATTTTACATCCACAAAATCACTGTTTAGTTCCATTCCCTTTTTCATCAAGGGATTCCCAGTGATTAGGATTCTATTCTGTACTTTTGAACTTTCCAAATTATCTTTATTCTTGTTCCTGTTGCTGCCTTGAATGAAGTTCATTCAAAGACTGATCCTCTTTCAATAATGTTCTTGTTTGTACATTCCTTCACCTAAATTATGGTTGTTGCAGATGCTATTGAAACCCATTGTTTCACAACTAGTCATAGAACCACCCGCTTCGTTGGACGACACCCCGAGTGTGCAGGAAGTTGATGACCTACTGGTTGTATGCATTGGACAAATGGCCGTCACCGCTGGAAATGACCTCTTGTGGAAACCCTTGAATCATGAGGTAAATATCTAGATTTTTACTACTGAGGGAGATTTTTTTTTTGGGCATTCCCAGTCATATAGTGGTAAGCTGTAAAAAGTTGTACTACCTCCAGTCCTTAAATAAGATTCAGCTGACTAATTTGGAAGTTAAATAAATTACTTTAAAGTATTCATATTTATTGTTTTTCTCCAAACTAATTTACTCAACTTCTAAACTGATATATAATCTAGTAATACACATAAATATTTTAGGGAGATAATGTAACATATAATTAATTTATTTAGCTTCTTTAATCTCTTTAAATGAGTCAATTAGATTTTATATTGAGGACCAGATATAGTATTATCTAAATTTTAGTTTTCATGCATGATCTTTATGTTGGCTCAAAAAAAAAGGGGGTCTTTATCACCTTTTTTCTGCATTCTGAACTCTGGCCAGAATGTATCTTTTGTTTTTAAATCTCTTTTGATGGCTGCGGAGTCTTCAACAGCTAATTCAGAGATCATGCCTTGTTTGTTTCGCAGGTATTGATGCAGACACGGAGTGAGAAACTGCGAGCAAGAATGTTGGGCCTGAGAATAGTTAAATATCTAGTGGAGAATCTGAAAGAAGAGTATCTTGTTTTCTTGGCTGAAACAATCCCCTTCCTTGGAGAATTGCTCGAGGATGTTGAGCCTTGTGTTAAATCTCTTGCCCAGGAAATTCTCAAGGAAATGGAGTCCATGAGTGGGGAAAGTCTTAGGCAATACTTATAATGATGTAAATTAAGGTAGTTAATACGATGATACTGAGAAAATTTTGAGGAAGTTAGAGACGTCTCATTAAATTTGTGATTTAGGTGATTATATTAATAGAAATGTTCTTTTTTGTCAATGAAAGCTTTTATATTTCCCTCCTTGGTAGCTAAAAGGCTAGCATATAATTAGTAAAAGACCAGCCTTTTAAAACACTAAATTAATGCCACAATTAGGTATCTAACTAACTAGGCTTGTTACAATTTCCTTTAATATAATCATGAAAGTTGTTTCTTTTTATTATTTGCATCGTTTGGTCAGTGTAAGCATATTGATTTATTAATAATCAGATTAAACTCATGAATTTAATGATTATCTGGTAGCTAAGACTGAGTTGTTCAGTTTTAGTGGTATCAGTGGTAAAATTAGTCATTATTTTTATGTATCTTGAAAAAATTGAAGTAAAATTCTGGCAGACAACGTACTGATTAATCATAACTTTTTTGGAACTTGATTTGCCCGGTCCAACTCGCAGCAGCTTGGATAGAACTAGTCTACCCAACGCGGGTCAGACTGAGTTTAGGGCTGATACTTTAGTCCATTGGGTCTAGCCTCGTCCAAGTATGATTTTTTTTTAAAAAAAAATGTAATTATTTAATTAATTTACTGTGTCCTAGTTATATAATCCCTTTCAACAGTCTCATTCTCTTATTGTCTTGCACTCGGTCGTCTCTTTCTCTCTTGACACTCGTTGTAGGTCCTTTTATTAATTTATATATATTTAATTATTTAATTAATTTATTGTATTTTATATTGATTGAGCATTGGAGCTTCTTTTATTATCAAAATTTACTTCTTTGATAAGTGAAACATCTATATTTTACAACATTAATTTGAGTTTTTTTTTTTGGGTGACAAATGTATATGCGCACACAACCCTCCCATCCACAAGTTTTTAGTCCTGTCATTTTTCATACATACCAGCTGCGAACTGGCAGTTACATTGGTCCAGTATGTTCTTTGTGAAGCCCTGCAAGTGCTTTTTGTTTAGCTTCTTTTTTTTTTGGAAAAGGAAACTTAAGAAGTCAATGCTAAGAGAGGCAAAGCGGTGGCTGAAGAAGAATTAGGCGCCAAAAATTAAGCTAATAAAGTAAATTGTTGAATTGGGCAAATCTCCTCAAGCTTATCAACTACAGCTTTGCACCTTCAAAAAGTTTATGATACTAGATGCATTTTGAGTCGTACTTTAAAAATGGTGGGCCTCACAATATTTGTTATGAAAGTCCTAGAATACCCCCAACTCAAAAAAAATCAAACTCGAAAAACATTAGTCAATCTCAGTAATATCGAACACAATATTTTTAAGTTATAATGATAAAAAATTTAAGTCATGGAGAAGAGATAATTATCTTGTAATATTCCAAGGATGAAATAATTTCAAATTAGCAAAACACCGATCACCCATATCTTATTGAAAATTAGAATTAAAAGAGTTAGAATTGAAATCCAAGATAACGTTGTTGATGATGATTTGGGCGTGGGTTTGAATGAGTTGAGAGAGAGAGCAGAAGAGGCAAAGGAAGAGGTTTTGATTGCTTGGAGACTAAGAGAAGTCACCTCCTTCTTGTTCCTCATCTTTTGGATATGGAATATCTGAAATCACGGTAGACAATGATGACAGATTCACAAGGCCAAGGAAGAAGATCTGACTACCAAGAGATGAAGAGAAGCAGCCTCCATCTTCTTCCTTGTCTTTCGAATTTGGAAGATGGTGCAAGAGCTCTCAGATTCACAAGGCCAAGGAAGAAGATCTGACTACCCAGAGATGAAGAGAAGCAGCCTCCATCTTCTTCCTTGTCTTTCAAATTTGGAAGATGATGCAAGAACAAGTTGAATGATAGCGCCCTCATTTCTCGAGCTCTTGTTCATTCTAGTACCCCCATCATTCTCTCCCCCATCTCTCCTTCTCAATCGAAGAGACGGATGAACAAAAAGAGAAAGCAACATGATGATCAACTTATCACCTTCCTACTCACTCTCGGCTCTTGCTCTCCACTCTAGAAGAATAGAAACTGAACCTCACAGACAGATGGCGAAACAGTGGCTCGGATTTGAGAGGTTGGGAGGGAGAGGGAATCTTTTTTTTTATTTTGAGTTGGGAATGCTTTGCGTTTTTCATAACAATATTGTGAGCCCTACCACAAAAAGTAACGGCAATTGTGCTATTTTAGTGTGGTGTCATTTTACCACCATTTTGAACTTTTATAGCTTACTTTTGCACATCAGAAAATGTTATGGGTGCACTTTTGATAAAAGTTTGAGTATTTTTGCACATGTACCCTAATTTTAATATTAATTTACCCATACCTATAATTTTTGCTGCATTTGCAAGAGTCAAGAAATAAGCAGAAAGCCCCAAAAAGCCACGAATGAAGAATCTAGCTTTCTTTAAACCAACCTATTGCATTTTTCCGATAAGGAAAAACTCGACGAAGAGATGGAAAGAGGGTTGAGGAAGATATCGACAGCAAATGGAAAGTGAAAATGAAGTCGAGAATGGGTATCTTGCAAAGATTTTGTCATCAGTGTTAGATCTTGTCCTTACACTGCTCAAATATCTAATTCCCATGAATCATTCTCCCCCCTTAGATCTTCTTACTCTAACTTGCTTTAGAGAATAACAAGCAGTGCATGGTTTGTCTTCACCTCTCACCCTGAAATTGACCCAAAATGCAATATCCTATTTTTAATTGCAAGGATTAATGTGATTAAGTCTTGATTTGCGTGGGATCGAAGACTAATGCTATTGCTTGAGGTTGCAAGATTGTCATTGAGATTAGATCTTGTCCTTGCACTGTTCACCAAATCTCTCTGATACCCATGAATCATTCTCCCTCTTTAGATCTTCTTATTCTGGCTTGATTTAAGCAGCGCATGGTCATTATTCACCCTCAGCCTTGAAGTTGACCCAAAGTGTAATATCTTGATTTTTAATTTTAAGGATGAATGTGATTAAGCCTTGATTTGTGCAGGATCAAAGATTAATGTTGTTGATTGAGGTTGAATGAGGGTTAGAAATATTAAGGATGCCAATTTGAAGTCATATCATTAGACTACTTTTAGTAGTCTTGGGATTTGGGAATTTTTTTAGGATCAATGACAATATTTTTCGGTGATTCTTCTTCTTTGGAAAAATAGACACCTCATTCTTTTTCAAAGAATCCTGATTTAATGAATTTTGGGAATGTGTGGAGTTAATTTTGAATTTTTATAGTTAGAGCCCTTGTTATTTCTAATTTTTTTAGCATCCTTGGTAAGCTATTGCCTGCAAAAAACCGTTCTTTTGGCCATGATGGAGGTTGTAAAATTTGTATATTATATGCAATTTTAAGTTGAAAACATAAGCTTAGAAGAAGGAAGGGTCCATGGTGGGTCATCTTGGCTCAAATAGGGCTTATGAATTTTGACCTACTTTTTGAGTTTCCAAATATCAAAGTAAATATTTCTAACTTGATTTCTCTCATTTTTAGCCAGATTTTTCAGATTTTGGGAATCTAGGGTTCTTGGAATTTCAAAATTACTGATGACTTCACCCGACATTTGGGGTTGAAATGAATTATATATACTAAATTAAGCGTTTTAATCGATTTACTTTTATTGGATTTCAAGTTTTTATCATATTCACAGTTAGAGTTTGTTGTTATAAGAGGGGTTTTGTTGGAAAATAATAATGTGATGGTTTAATATGGATTCAGTTATGATTATATGCGTTAGATTAGAAATTAACTAGTTTAGATTGTTGATTGGACTTGAAAATTAAGTTTGGGTGTGTTTGAGGTTTGACTCATAAATTGTAAATTGAGAATTGGCTTGTATGGATGTTATTGAGATTGGTGATTTATTCAAATGAGTTGTTTGGGTTAAGGAGAATTTGAAGAATGCTTTTTGAATGAGAATTTGTGTGCTTGGGAGGAATTGAGGATTTTGGTTGACTCGATATTATAAAGTATAATGTTGGGGGACTTTCTGTTTTGTAATTAATTGATGGTTGTTGCTTTTATTAATGTGTATCTACATTGTTGAGTAAATTAAGATCGAGTTAATTCTTTTTTCTCTAAAAAAACTGATTACTATGTGAGTAATCAGCTGTATTTCTTCCCTCTTCATTTTAATTACTAGCAACCCAAATGCTTGGGAATGTTTTGCTGTGCAATGTTGGATTTGTTGTGTATTATCTGTTCACAAATCTCTTTATTGTCACATCCAGTAATATGGCAATTAGGGATAAAGAATATTCCTCAGCAGTTAAAGGCCAAAAGGATGAGGAGAAATAGAAGAATTTTAATGAAAAATAATTATTATGATTTTCCAAGTTATGTGAAAGTTTGACTAATTAAGAAAAATTGGTTAAAGATAATCGTGAAAAAATATTTCCAAGCTTCACAAAATTAAGAAAAAATTAAGGATATTTCTTGAGAAGTATACGAGGTTATATAATTGATTGTATGACCAAATTACCCTTGAAAAAATTATAAAGGAATTTAAGGATAATTTAGGCTAATTTAAGGGCTTTTATTTGGAAAGTTCCAAATAAATGTATTTAAGGCAAGAACAATTTCAAGAAAATTTCTATGATACCCCAAGAAATTATAAGAGATATTGGGATTAAAAAGAGTCTCTCAAATATCTAAGATTTTTCCCAATTCCTTGGAAAAGTGGAAAAATCACTAAAGAGAAGGAAATTAGTTTTTCTTTTTATTTAATTATTGGAAAATTGATTATGAGATAAAGAGGGCAATTTGGGAAGATAAAAATGAAGCAATTAAATTATGGATCTGACAAAATAATTACAAAGGCCAGAGTACTATAATTATAGAAAAGGGATTAAACCTGGATAAAAGTGTACCGATAAAGTGAAGACTAGATTCTTGGACTTTAAATGACTCACATTTTGCCATGTGTCAAGCCTCCAATAGAGAGAATTTGAAATTGCCAAGTGTTACACCTGAAGTGGAGAGGGTTTTGACTTTTGGTAATTAATTTCTTTTGGAATCAGTTAATTAAGAAAGAGAAAGCAAGAGGAAGAGGGGGATTGACACTTGTAACTTCCATTAACGTGGTAGTTGGGATATTTTGCTCATTAGAGAGCTCTTCCTCCCCTTTATTGC